ATATGTATATATATATATATATATATATATATATATGTGTATATATATATATATATATGTGTGTATATATATATATATGTATATATATACACACAGTTGGTGTGATATCTTTGGCTTAAAAGGTGTTCAAGTTTCATGGATATAAATGGGTTCAGTACTGTCAAAAAATAATAATAATAATAATAAAAAAAACTGATTAATAATCTGAAAACCAAGCCTTGTGCATTATAGGGAATAATATTTAGAGATTTTTACAGTTGGTTTGATACCTTTATCTCAAACCGTGTCAGAGTTTAATTAATTTAAGTAGGTATATAAAACATCTGAAAAATATGGATTCAGTACTGTATATAAAAACAATACAGGCATAATCTGGAAAACCAAGCCTTGTGCATCATAGGGAATAATATTTAGAGATTTTTATAGTTGATTTGATACCTTTATCTCAAACGGTGTCAGAGTTTAATTAATTTAAGTGGGTACAGCATATAAAACATATGAAAAAAAATATGGTTTCAGTGCTATATATAAAAACATTAAAGGCATAATCTGAAAAAACGAGCATTGTGCATTAAATTGAATAATATTCGGAATATTTTACAGTGGGTTTGATACCTTTATCTCAAACTGTGTCAGAGTTTAATTAATTTAAGTGGATATAGAATAATAAACATGACAAATATGGTTTCAGTACTGTATATAAAAACAGTAAAGGCATAATCTGGAAAACCAAGAATTGTGCATCATAGGGAATAATATTTTGAATATTTTACAGTTGGTTTGATACCTTTATCTCAAACTGTCAGAGTTTAATTAATTTAAGGGGGTACAGTATATAAAACATATGAAAAATATGTTTTCAGTACTGTATATAAAAACAAAAAAGGCATAATCTGGAAAACCAAGCCTTGTGCATCATAGGCAATAATATTATGCATATTTTATAGTTGGTTTGGTACTTTTATCTCAAACTGCGTCAGAGTTTAATTAATTTAAGTGAGTACAGTATATAAAACATGACAAATATGGATTCAGTACTGTATATAAAAACAGTAAAGGCATAATCTG